GTGAGATAACTGTATGCCCAATATTCAACATGCCTGCTGTACTCAGGGGTGACAGAGGAGCTGTTCTGTAGAAAGCAAGACCATGACAGAATTTATACCAATATTGTGTGTTACTAATCATGCCCATTTGAGAATCTGAAGAGAAAAACCTCTGAGGTGAAGTTGGTGTTATAGTTGAGAGCCAGTTGGAAAGGAGCAAGTATATATTGGAGAAAAACAAGTAATTTGAGAAAAACAATGGTGGGTAGATGTACTCTAGAATTAACACATATCAGAAACTGTATTGATGTATTTCAAAGAGAGAGAGGGAGAAGAGAAAAAGAGGAGAAAGTTGCTTAAAAGACTTAACTGTAGCGCTCAATTCACTATCTGATTATTTTATCAAGTGTAGAAACAACATGGCCAGCTTTGATCATGTATTTTTTCAAGGCATATTGTACATAGCTTTTCTTTCTTTCTATCTATCTATCTATCCGATACTGGGACTTGAACTGAAGGCTTCATGCTCTTGCTTAACTTTTCACTCAAGGTTGGTACCCTCCCATATCAGCCACATCTCCACTTCTAGGCTTTTGCTGTTTAATTACAGCTAAGAGTCTCCCAGACTTTTCTTCTCAGGCTAGTTTCAAACAACAAAACTCAGATCTCATCCTCCTGAGAAGCTAGGGTCATAGGCATGAGCAACTAGCTCCCAGTTACAGCCTTTTTTATCTTAGGAGACTCAGAAGGTAGTGGGGCCACTATGAAGTTAGGCATAATTGTGAGTCACTGGCTGGTTCGATAAGCAAACACTGAGCATGGCTCAGCCTGTCCAACAAGCTTGCCTTACTCCATAGGCATTAGCACACATGCTCCCTTTCTGTCTGCCGCTGCAGAAATGAGCCATGCATGGTGGTGCACACTTGGAATCCCAGCTTTCAGGAGGGAGCAGAGGCTTTCCAACTTTGGTTTTCAGTATGTCTATTTTAGAACATACAAGTATAACAACCACAGAAGACTGGCCTCTACATAACTTGTCATAATACATAGGACACGTGTTGTGTGTGCTTTGGCTGAGAGAACCCCTCAGGCTTTGAAAGTGTTTGGTTTTGTTTTAATTCTGCATTTTGGTGTAAGCCGGTGCTCATAATGGAGACTCACTGTGAATGTGCGATGCTGCCCTATTCAGGGCCACTCATGGGAAAAATCGAACTACACATGCTGAGTAACATCCACCTGGACAGTCTTACTCCATTCAGTAAGGTTTTGTACTTACATTCTCCTGGATGCCAGGAACAAGCAAAAGGCCAGCTTTCAAAAGATAGCATTCATTCACCTTACATACATTTAGAAGTAAAAGTGGTCTTAATGGGCTGATATATTTGTGAACACTAAAATTGTATTCATGTGACCATCTAGCAACTAGACTTTGTTATTTACCTTAGAAATGCAGCAGGTATGGCAGTACATGTCTATAATCCCAGCTCTCCAGACGCTGAGTTAAGAGGATCATGAGTTTACCACCAGCCTGGGCTACACAGGAAGTTTGAAGTCATCTTGGGCTACAAACATACAGATCCATAATAAGTACAGATAAATACAAATATATGGATAAACAATAAATCAATATTACAATTAAAAACCTTTATTAAAAAGTTAATACAAGAAAATGGATTTTCATAAGTGTGCAGAATATTTGACCATATGTCTTGTTAATAATAGTTAAAAACTAGGCATGTCAATAGAACTGTATATGCAGCTCATACAAACAAGGGTGGCATGAATAGACTGGAAAAGAGTCAGCAATACATGCATGTGAAGAATGATCCCATGGGTTAAAAGAAAACATTATATACCCTTGTCCGTTGTATGACTATATACACAATGGAATTCTATGCCTCATCAGAAAGAATGGCATTGCCCCATTTATTAGGAAATGGAAAGACTTGGAAAAAATTATATTAAGTGAAGTAAGCCAGGTCCAAAGAAACATAGGTCCCATGGTTTCCCTTATTTGCAATAACTAGAATATGCCTGAGTCAAGCAGAAAAGGTCAGATAAATTGATGTTAAGGGAGTGAATCCCAAGATAAGGATTCAAATGTTTTTTTTTCTTTCATGTGATTGTTTCTAACATATTTATAAGATGATTTCTATGTTGCTTTGTATGTCCCTCCCCCACGGTATAACCCCTGCTTTCACTGTATTTGATGTTGGTATAATTTGTGGAGGGGAAGGGGAAAAACAAATCGTTTAACTAGGGATACAAGTGGACCCATTGCAACAATGAGATGTACAAGTCGTTATGTCGAAAAACGAACTTTACAACTTTGGTGGTAGGGGGAGGATCGGGTCTGGGGAGGTGGGGGGAGTACGGGAAGGGATGGGAAGGGGAAACAAAAAGGAGGCAACAATGCTTGATAAAAAAATGTACTCGTTATCTTGCCCATGTAATTGTAACTCCTCTGTATGGTATTCTCACAATAAAAAATGCCCCCAAAACAGAAAGATGTCTCAACTGAAAAAAAATTATATACATGTGAATGCATACACACATTTTTCTGTATGCTTGTATAGATATTTAGGACAATTCTAGAGTTGCTCTTGTTTGTTTGTTTTGCTAGTTCTGTGGCTTAAACTTGGGGCTTACATGCTGTCCCTGAGCCTCTTTGTGCTTAAGACTTGCGCTCGACCACTGGGGCCACAGCGCCACTTCTGGCTTTTTCTGAGTAGTTTTATTGGAGATAAGCATCTCAGATTTTCCTGCCCAGTCTGGCTTCCAACCATGATCCTCAGAGCTCAGTCTTCTGAGTAGCTAGGATTACAGGCGTGAGCCACGAGTAGTACATGGCTAGGCTATTCTTTATTAACCTAGTCTCCTTTAGAAACTGAGAGGCGGAAGAGAGGGGTGAGTTGGGAAAAAGAAAGACTCTTATTTTATTATCTATTTTTTAGCATGATTTGAATTTATTCTCCTAAAACTTATGCTTTGTTTTCCTAAGAAAATTTTACAACCACCCAGACACTGATGGTTCACATCTGTCTGAGATTTGAGGATCTCAGTTCAAAGCCACAGTCAGAAAACTCCATGAGACTTTTATGTCCTGTTAACCACCAAAGAGCTGGAAGTAGAGTTGTGACTCAAGAGGTAGAGTCCTAGCCTTGAGCACAAAATCTTAGGGACAGCATCCAGACACTGAATTCAAGCCCCAGGACTAGCAAAAAATGAAGGAGAAGGAGGAAGAGGAGGAGGAGGAAGAAGAAGAAGAAGAAGAAATTGGTTACATGAAAAGGAAATATTATATTTAGCTTCTTATTGATAGTATTGCATATGCATTTGCCCTTTCTGTCCTCTTCGGGGAGCACAGGAGAGCAAGGCATAGTAAACAGGATTCACCTACTTTGGCTAGGGAAACTCAAGCACCACACAAACTGACAGTTGGTACTTGGCATAATGAATTTAAGGAGAGTGAGATGCCATTGGCCCAGATGAGGTCTACGAATAGATGGATGATCAAAAGAAATTGTGGTGCATGGAAGCAACTGAACATTTATTTAGCCATATAAAAGGATAAAACCCTGTCATTTGGGACAACACAGATTAAGTGAAGTAAGCTAGGAGGAGGAAGATAAATGCAGCATATTTTCACTTATATGTGGAAGCTAGAAATTTGATCTCACAGGAGTTGAGATGAGAAATCTCAAAGGCTACTTCTCTCCCAACCATTTCTGGCTTTTTGTTGGTTAATTGGAGGTAAGAATCTTCTGGAATTTCTTGCCCTGGCTGGCTTTGAACCAGGATTGCCAGATCTCAGTCTTCTGAGTAACTAGGATTACAGGCATTAACCACCAGCACCCAGCCAAGTTGACTTCAATTTATTTTTTAATTTGGCCATTAATCTCACTGGTCACTATCCTTTAGCATTTTTGCTCAGGGCTGGTGCTCTACCACTTGAGACACAGCTCCATTTTCTGTTTTTTTTTTTTTAGTGGTTATTTAAAGATAATAGTCTCATGGACTTTTTTTGGGGGGGAGTCCGGTCGTGGGGCCTGAACTCTGGGTCTGGGCGCTGTCCCTCAGATCTTCAGCTCAAGGCTAGCGCTCTACCACTTGAGCCACAGCACCACTTCCGGCTTTTTTCTTTTTGCTTATGTGGTGCTGAGGAGACCAACTCAGGGCCTCAGGCATGCAAGGCAAGCTCTCTACCACTGAGCCACCTTCCCAGCCCTCATGGACTTTCTTGCTCAGGCTAACTTTCAACCTCAGTCCTCAAATCTCAGCCTTCTGAGTAGCTAGGATTACTGGCATAAGATACCGGTGCCCAGAAATTGACATTCTTAATAACAAATCTGGGGGGGTGTTACTGAATCACCCTCTTTTTTAAATTAAAAATTCAAGTACCAGCAATTTCATAGGCTTCTACCTCATGTATGTAAAATACTTGAAAACAGAAATATCTGATACTTGCCTTCTTTCATATCTATCAGTTCTTGAACTATGCCTTAGTGCAGTGTCCTAGTTGAGTTTCAATAAATGTATTTTGTAGATATGGAGGAAATAGGCCTACTGAGCTCTTCTATCTTTTGGAGAACAATTACTAATTCTTTGTTCTTTCTTTTTCAGCATTTTTCAGAAAACACTAGTTATGAATGGGCACTATCTTTTGGTTTAGATTCTGATTAACCAAGTAATCTGAAAGTCTGGGTCCTAGGAGATAGGAGAGCACCTTAGAATCCAATTCTGATTTCAGCAATGGGATCTGAGATGGTTACTTTGTTTCCTGCACCACTATGGATCTTCCATATCAATAGAGACTTGAGCCAGTGAAATTTATTTATTTATCTGTTTGTTTTGTGCTGTTACTGGAGCTTGTATTCAGGGACTAAGACATAGTTTTTTTTATTCAAAACTGATGCTCTACCACTTGAGTCATGCCTTTATTTCTGGCTTTTTGGTGGTAAATTGGAGATATGAGTCTCAAGGTCTTTTCTGCCTGGACTGGCTTCAATACTGCAATCCTT